AAAAACGCACTCACCAGATGTGCGTTTAAGATACGCGATATATAATCCTGCGTCACCAGGCCATAGATCGGTCATCAGATCTCGGATTGGGTTATCCACGGATTACCATCCAGGTTCCACAGAAGCAAGGTCACCAGAAACTGCTACCAGGTATCACCACCAGGGTCATGATTCCTCCAGATGGGCACTGCGAATGATGGCACTCACACAGAGTGCCCAATAAGAGACCACATAGCGTGATACTGCTTAAGGTACCTTTATTCAAGGATGGTGAGTACATAACAAAAAGAATTCCAAAAATTACTGACCATAAATTCCAAAGGTGTCCACCTGCGGTGGTTAGATGTCCTGTTGCTGCAGCCCTCTGACGCGTTTCGTGCGATGCACGTAGTCATAGGGATAAGGGCAATAAAACCTGAATCATCTACCTTGCAATTTGTCAAGAATATCTGGATCACAAGTCTTGCCGAACATAATTACAAATTCTTTGTTCCTACATTTATAGCGGAATGTTACCCATAATATTCTTTAGCAAGGCATGCAATCCACATTAATAATTATGCTACCAATTGCCCCCAGTATTGTTTCTTCTTGCTGGAGGCTGCCATTTTGCTGTAGCCCAGAGCCCCTGAGCAGAAGTAAATCTTTAGGCTGTCAGCAAATCGGCCACTACAAATTTGGCACAGTGCCTAAAAATAGAGCGCAACTGAGCATGTGCAGAGCAGGGTAAGAGTGTATTGCTAGATTGTAAACTGTATAGGCACTTATTTTTTAATGTTTTGCATAGTTATAGCTTCAAAAGGGACCAGCATGAGATTATCTAGCAGGGCTTAATTTTTTTTTTTTTTTTTACTAAAGTTCCACTTTAACTGGAATTTTGCTGTAACAGTAGACCAAGATTTATATGTATTAACCTGGAGCTGGAAAAAGTGTTTTGCTGATATTCCAATTTTTGAGCATTAGTTTTCTTAGGATTTCCAAGGATTGATATTTTATACATGGTTTATGGTTACATTGGTCCAGCTTGGGGAAATGTAACTCTCTTCCCCCCCCCCCCTCCCCTTTTTGCTCTAAGGATGCAAAACCCCTGACCTCTGTCTGTCCATTGCTGACTGGCCCTGTGCTGATCACATGCACTCTCCCAAGACAATAAAAATCCTAGCAATACACATTAAACTGAGCATGTGCATGCGACTACGGGTTCAGTCTGTATCAGGTGGACATCTGAACTAGAGGAGGGGCAGAGAAGATAGGATCAAACAGCCTTTTTACACAATGCAGAGGATTAACCCCTTAGGTTCCACAGTGAATATAACAAGCATGCTTTACTGTATATACAGACTGATTGTACTGTTGTGGGTTTAGTAACACTTTAAAAGTCACATCTTAAAGGGATAGTTCACCTTCACTAAAGAACTGCCTATGCAGGTAAGGGGCGTCTGTGGATGAAAACAAACTGTGTGTCTCTGACTAAAGGTGAATAATGTCCTTGCTATAGGTGTAGGCCATTTATGTACCTCACGAAGCCTGGCTGGAATACTCCCAGGAAATTGGTAGGACGTTGCTAAGTGAGGCCTAGTCATTACTGCTCACCCCCACCATCACAGAAGTCATCTTTTTCTCTGATTCAGACCCCCTCACATGTTCTCTCTCTCTCTCTCGATACAGTAGCTCAGAGCTCACTCCAGTGATGGTGGAGGTGAGCAGTAATGACTAGGCCTCACTTAGCAACGACCTGGGAGTATTCCAGTCAGTCTTCAGGAGGTATGTGTACAGTAAATGGCCTACACCTACAGCAAGGGCATTATTCAACTTTAGTCAGAGCTGCACAGTTTGTTTTAATCTACACACATCCCTTATCTACATAGGAAGTTTTTCGGTAAAGGTGAGCCAACCCTTTAATGTTATCAATGCAACAGTCAAAGCCAAAATCATCATGCAAAGTTGCACCCATCCAAAGTTGCAATAGAAATCGCACAAATGTGAACGGAGCCTTAGCCCGGGTTCACATATATGCGGTGCGGTATATCGCATGTGATTCACACTGGAACTGCACCGCATTCCTGTGCAAATCACATGCGATTTGTGTGCGGTGCGATTGGATACATTTTGTATGGCTCTAATTGCACTGCACCCGCACCAAAAAGGTGCAGGACCCTTTTTTGGGTCCGCACTAGAAACGGATCGCATGAGTATTCCCACTCATGCAATCCGATTCTGCACATCGCACCACGTTTTGCGGACTGCTTTCGGGGGGGGGGTTAACTTAAAGCAGAGCTCCACCCAAAAGGGGAAGTTCCTCTTTAATGCTTTGTCCCGCGCTCCCCATTAAGGATTGGCACCTTTGGGGAACGGGTACCCGAATTTGACAGGTTCCCACTTCTGCTGCGATCGCCCAGGCGATCAGAAGCGGAAGTTCTCCTCCCTCCCTTCCTCCTTCCCCGTAGTCTTCTGGACACGTAACAGGTCCCAGAAGACTACGGGGCCATTCACAAAGCTCAGCGCTTCTTCCGCATGCACAGTGGGCACCTGGTTGTGAAGCCGCAAGCTGTCACAGCCGGATGCCCACACTGAAGATGCCGACGCCAGGGAGAGAAGACTTCTGGTGAAACCAGCCGTGGTGAGGACACCTCTGAATCAAGGGACAGGTAAGTGTCTGTATTTTAAAAGTCAGCAGCTACAATTTTTGTTGTTGCTGACTTTTATTTTTTTTTTTATTCAGGTGGAACTCCGCTTTAACATACACACCCTCAGAGGTTCGCATGAACGGGTTGCGATTCTGATGCAGTGCAGAATTCGCACAGAAAACGCTGTGAATTCCGCACCGCATCAGTGTGAACCAGGGCTGTTAATTATGATATAGGTTGGTCATGTGACTAAGGGGGGTTGGTGACTGGTTATTTATCAGGCCCAGCAGAGCCCCATCAGGGTTGTTGGTTTTTGTAGATTATAGCATGATGTCTCCACACTCGCCCTCCATCGGTGGTGAGGACCACACAGCTATCTTTTATTCTGCTCATTTTTATTGAAGTATGATTTGAATATAGTAGAATTGAGAAAGTCCCTTATGCTGATTGTGACTGATCTATTGTCAGAGGTGGAAGAGTGTTCTTTTTTTTCTCCTAAAACCTACCTCCTGGCTTGTAGATGGTTTCTTCCATGGACTGCTAGATGCTATTCTGAGAAAGCGGCAGAAAATGGCGGGGCCGTTGATCTTTTTTTTATATTGACTGAATGATCTGCACATGTGTGCTTAACATAAGTCCTTTATAGTAAAATGGAAAAGTGATTTACATTGGCTGTTTTTGTAGTAGAGTTAGATGTTGGAAAATATGTGGGTAGGGAGTCTGCGGTGTTTCCTGTGAACACAGTACTCTTATTTAAAAATCCGAGCCAACTGCAAGACGAGGCCAAGAGGATTCTATAACATTGCCTTTCTTCCTGAAGCAGTTGTGTGGTTGAGCAATGGAACGGGCTCATGATCTGAAGAATGATTGGGAGAAGTTTGGCACAGAAAGACAGTTATGTCTGGGAGTTGAATATATATAATATTGGGGGTGAAGGTACACAGGAACATTTTAGAGGGACACCAGCCTAGACCAGCATTCTAGAAGTTATGTAACTCCGGTAATAGAGATACTTACATGTCTATAATTCTTAAAGTAGATCAGAATCTTTACTGAAAGACATTTGATTTGCTAAAGCACCATGTGAAATGCTGTCTTTTTTGTTTTTTTTTTTTTTTTTGTTTTTTTTTCTCAATAAAATACTGTATTCATCTTTTTTGCTCTAGACCCGCTTCCGAATACGCTTGTCTCAGAATTTAGGGAGTGGGGTTATCTCTGTTAGGTGTCCGTTTATGACGCAGAGAATAGCTGTGATTCAGAGGATGGCAGCTATTCCCTGGTCATTCACAGTTTATGACACTCAGGAGATCAGCGGAGAACATGTTCAGCCCTTCACTGGAGATCTGTGTTCTCCCTCCAGATTCTCCAGCCCAGAGCTGGAGAATCGCAGGGACCGCAAACTAAGCAGCAATAATTTACCTCTGTTTAGTAAACTGATCTTTTACTGTAATCTCGCGAGGTTATAGTAAAATCAGTCGTTTTCCAGCGTTTGTAGACTGTTCTCCCTTAGTTCGGAGAACTGCTTCATAAAAGGCATTCACAGGAGAACTGTGTTCTCCGAGAATGCCGGAGAACTGAGCAGCGATCTATTACCGCTGGTTCATAAATGGACACCTTAGTGTTTTGGACTGAGATAAGAACTAGGTCACAGTACCCAACCAGATCTGTATATGTCGTAGTGAAATCACAGCATATTATACAGTCCAGCCACTATTTATAACCATTGCATCCGATTTATCTGTCAGATACATTATAAACATATGGATGTAGACAATGGAATGAATCATTCCCACTGTAAAATATGGATGAGGTGTGACCAGCTACCTGCCTTGCCAGCTAATGACAAGATTGTTGCCCTGTTTTTAAGCCATGCATTCCAGAAATAGAAAAACAAGTGTTGCTAAACCTCGGACCCTGCATTCACTATATCCGGTCTCCCCGGACCCTGCATTCACTATATCCGGTCTCCCCTAACCCTGCATTCACTATATGCGGTCTCCCCAACCCTGCATTCACTATATCCGGTCTCCACCGGACCCCGCATTCACTATATCCGGTCTCCCCGGACCCCGCATTCACTATATCCAGTCTCCCCGGACCCTGCATTCACTATCTCCAATCTCACTGGACCCTGCATTCACTATATCCGGTCTACCCAGACCCCGCATTCACTATATCCGGTCTCCCAGGACCCTGCATTCACTATATCCGGTCTCCCCCCCGCAACTATATCCCTCCCCGCATTCACTATATCCGGTCTCCCCGGACCCTGCATTCACTATATCCGGTCTCCCCGGACCCTGCATTCACTATATCTGGTCTCCCCGGACCCCGCATTCACTTATCTGGTCACTTCACTATCTGGTCTCCCGGGACCCCGCATTCACTATATCCGGTCTCCCCGGACCCTGCATTCACTATATCCGGTCTCCCCGGACCCTGCATTCACTATATCCGGTCTCCCCGGACCCTGCATTCACTATATCCGGTCTCCCCGGACCCTGCATTCACTATATCCGGTCTCCCCGGACCCTGCATTCACTATATCCGGTCTCCCCCGGACCCTGCATTCACTATATCCGGTCTCCCCGGACCCTGCATTCACTATATCCGGTCTCCCCGGACCCTGCATACTATATCCGGTCTCCCCGGACCCTGCATTCACTATATCCGGTCTCCTCGGAACCTGCATTCACTATATCCGGTCTCCCCGGACCCTGCATTCACTATATCCGGTCTCCCCGGACCCTGCATTCACTATATCCGCCCTGCATTCACTATATCCGGTCTCCCCCGGACCCTGCACTTCACTGCATTCACTATATCCGGTCTCCCCGGACCCTCATTCCCGCTCTCCCCGGACCCTGCATTCACTATATCCGCTCTCCCCGGACCCTGCATTCACTATATCCGCTCTCCCCGGACCCTGCATTCACTATATCCGCTCTCCCCGGACTCTGCATTCCTATATCCGCTCTCCCCGGACTCTGCATTCACTATATCCGCTCTCCCCGGACCCTGCATTCACTATATCCGCTCTCCCCGGACCCTGCATTCACTATATCCGGTCTCCCACAGTACACAGAACATGAAATTATTTTAGTAAATATAAACTGCTAAATACCTTTTCTCGACAGCAGTATATAGCAGTCTTGTGACTTCTATCAGTGTCCAGCAGAGCACTGGTTAAAGCTTGTAGGAGGAGTTTTCATTCTTCTCTGATTGTCATACGAGGCTGCAGGACCCCTGGTCCTCTGTTTGGACAGTGCTGCTTGGCCCTGTGCTGATCACATGCACTCTTCCAAGAAAAAAAAACTAGCAATATGCACCAAACTGAGCATGTGCAGCTTGCCCCCAAGGCTCTGTTCTATCAGGAGATGTAGTGGGGGACTGTGGAAGAAGGGGAGGATCAGAGAAGACAGGATCAAACATAATTTTTACACAGTGCAGAGGATTAACCCCTTAGGTTCCACAGTGAGTATCAGAAGCACACTTTACTGCATATACAGACTGATTTTACTGTTGTGGGTTTAGTAAACCCAACATTTCACATTCCTGATCTGTGCCTGCTATATCATATACTTGAATGAAAATGTATCCTGTAAATCACAGGCTGTGTGCTGGAGCTCCACCCCCTCACCTTTTTTCTCTTGGTGTCAAGAAAACTTGTCAAAAGTGGTTCATACTGATAGCAGAGAAACAAAGCAGTAGACAGAAATGACACTTACACCCCGGTCACATCAGTTGCGACTTGGCAGGCAATTTGCATGCCATGCGACTTGCAAATCTTGCACCCCTATTGTTTGCTATTAGAGCGGTCATATTAGTGCGTTTCCGACTTAGTTGGAGCAGCACTGATTTCTAAAGTAGTACATGCACTACTTTTGGTGCGATTTGCATAGCCATCTGTGTCAGATGTCTGGCAAATCGCACCTGAAATCGTCAAGTCACCCGACTTTGAACACTGTAAGTCGCACGATTTCAAAATCGGGCTTGATTTGACAGTCAGCTTAGTGCTGTGGATTGAGACAAGTACACACTATGGCAGGATATGCTTTGTTCATATTTCATGTCTGTGGTTTACAACCACTTTAAAGAAAGTAGAAAACCCATCCACATGCATTTTTCAGAAACCCAGCCGCTTAGGTGGTTTACCAGCTGCATATTTTTACACATGGCAACTCACCTTTGGAGACCTGCTGCTTTGAATAGGTTCCCAATGTGGGGTCAGACACACAGGGCATTGACAAGCAGGGGAATTCCAAGGTGGAACGGTATTGCACAGAAGAAAGGTGAACATATCACTGAGCTGTGGTAGCCCCGAAGGCCCTGTTGATGGCCAGGCATTCTCAGCAGGTAGGCCCTGGATCTGCTTAGTTTGGAGAAATGATTGGAGCTTTAAAGGAATGACTTTCGTTCGGTGAAGCAGCTGTATGGAAAACACGAGGTAGTTTGCACAAAGCAACCGGTGTGTTTTCATTGGGTGATGGAGTGTCTTTAACATTCCCCATTGCTTGACCACACCATGGAGTTTTGGTGTGTCATTGATCAGCTGGAGGATCTTCCTATGGATGTGTGAGTCAGTGTGTGCTGCACCTCCACCCAGCATTCTCCTCCACCCTTTCACTGCCGGGATTTGTCTGACTGGCCGACATAGTCGCAATACACAAATCTGCTGCATTGATTGGCTGCCAAGACCAGGGATCATCTCCTGACACCACAGAGATCCCACTGTGCTCAGCAGGGACAGGCCTGCAATGCAGTGTACTAATGCTGTGGCCAGGGATATTGGATGAATTTCATTTTATCTTGGGGCTTACCATCAGCAGCTTTTAGTGATCCAAGCTTACACTTGGCAGAAGAAGAAGTCAGTGCGGAATGATCACCTCCAATAAATACGTATCTGCTGCAGTTCTTATTAAATCTGATGTCATTAATCAGTAAACTTTGCTACACAATCAAACCGATAATGCTTGCTTCTTTTATTAGGAGGAGGTGTGGGATCAAAATTCTGCTTTTCTAGAGGTTGGCAAGCTGCGGTGCCCATTAATTTCACTCTAAAGGGGAAGTTCCGCTTTAAGGCCTCCTTCCCCGCTCCCCGTCTGATTGGCACCTTTGGGAAACGGGTACCTGATTTTGACAGGCACCCGCTCACACTTCCACGGTCAACCCTCCCTCCTTCCAGAAGACTATGGAATCATTCACAAGGCGCAGCGCTACACGTGCATACGTATTGGGCTTCCGGCTGTGTGCAGCCGCAAGTCATCACAGCGGGTGCCACACTTAAGATGTCGGGGACAGAGGAGGACCGGTGACACTGGCTGTGGTGAGGACACTGCTGGATCGAGAGACAGGTGAGTGTCTGTTTTTCAGAAGTCAGCAGGTACAGTTTTTGTAGCTGCTGATTTTTATTTTGACATTTTGACTGGACCTCCTCTTTAATTTTGTGAAGTGGACCTAAGCTTTAAAGGGTCCCATAACACTTTTTGATCTGTTAATGGTGTAGAAGTGTATTACTGTGTGGTATTGCATACATTAATATGCGCTGTGTTAAGATAATCAACCAAAACCTGCGCCAAAAAATTTTTTAAATCACCAACCAATGCTGCTGCTCATTGTTGTGTAAAAAGAAAAAAACAGCGTAAAAACTTAATATAAATAAATAAACATAAATAATTTGTGTCCAAATCAGAACGCAGCGCAAAAACTTTATATAACTATAAATAAAATAAAAAGCATATTAGTGTCCAAATCAAAACAATAAAAAAAAGTCCCAATCCAAAAAATGTTAAATATTCCACATCCAATGTGCTCCAAAAGAAATAGTGATGGGTCACGTGCAAAAGAAACTTCAGTGTATTGACACCCTCTGTGACAACCAACATATATTGCACTCACCAAATGTAATGGACTCTCAAAAGCTGAAGAGTCAAAATACGCTTTTTGGATACTGAATATCCTGCCAATAGGGACTTCCACCATTCTGAAGGATGCTCCAATAGAAGCATTTTCCACACAATTTGCTCACTATAAAAAAGAAAAAAACTAATAGTAATATTGTCAAAAGCAATATATTTAAAAAAGACTGCAATAATCGCACTCACATGTTAAAAACACAAAAAAACCGCCTTTAGTCAATTACATGTGTTAACGTAGCCCATTCTAGTTGAATGAGTTTCTTACTTAAAGGGTAAGTTTACCTTTTGGGAAAAAAAAAAAAAATGCACATTTTTTTGCAGGTTAAAAAAAATGTGCATTTATTATTTTTTTTTCTAAGGAGTCTGCAGAGCATTGCACCCATGATCAGCAGATTCTCAGGATAGCTGAGGTACGGGCAGGCAATTTGAAAGCAGAAAGATCATTTGACTATGAGCACATTATCGGCGCACTCACCAGTTACTACAAGACACCAGCTGCAATGTCTGATGGTGCTTGTAGTCATTCATTCACAGTAAACTGTGAATGAATGACATGGCTGTGTGGAGTTCCTGTGTTGAGTTGTGCCGTGTCATGTCAATGTAGTTAAACAGCCAGCCTTATGCCTCATGCACACAGGTGTAGGAATTTATGCTTCTAGAAATTGGCAGAAAAAATGTCTAATGCAGGCCATAGACGGTTCGTTTATCGGCCGATTCTTCGTCCGAAAGAATAATCAGTTGATTTTCGCACTGTTAGTGGGGCAATGGCATCGGCCGATTTTCGGGGTTCCTCCTTCGTTTATCAGTCATGCTGGAAAATTCATGAAAAACGGACGATTTTCGAAATCATTGGTGGCAACATCAGTTTACAGAACGAACAGAGCTTCGTTTTTTCGGACGAAAAATCGGCCGAATAAACGAACCATCTATGGCCTGCATTAGTTTGCATTTTTTAATTTGTGCTTATATGTGTTTATGTGCATTTACAGGCTGATGGCATTTAGAAGTGTTTGAGAACAAACTCATTCTATTGGCTAGAATATTCATGTGTTCTAGCCACTGGAATAAATATACGCACATAAGCACACATTTATGCACATTTATAAGCATACATTGTGTTCCAATATCATCACACTGATTGGAGTCAAGGTTGGCTCACTCCTGGCTCCAATTAGCTCTGGGAGAAGTCATTAAGCTAGGGCCTCACATACATTTTCCTCCCTGCACTGTGAATGTTTACATGTTATGTGCAATTAAACCATGGCAACATCTAACGTTTGTGTAGTATTATGTTCAGCAGACTGTGTTCTTCTATTGTTGTGACTTAGATGACGTTCAGAGCACATTTTATGCCCAATTCATGCAAAACTCCACGTAATCCCAAGGGGTTCACATACTTTTTCTTGCAACTGTATATAAAATCAAGCACCTAGGCATGCAGACTGCTTCTACAAACATTTGTGAAAGAATGGGTCGCTCTCAGGAGCTCAGTGTCTCCAAGCATGGTACCGTGATAGGTTTCCACCTGTGCAATAAGTCCATCCGTGACATTTCCTGGCTACTAAATATTCCACGGTCAACTGTTAGTGGGATTATAACAAAGTGGAAGCAACTGGCAACAACAGCAACTCAGCCACGAAGTGGTAGGCCACGTAAAATGACAGAGCGGGGTCAGCGCATGCTGAAGCACACAGTGTGTAGAAGTCGCCAACTGTCTGCAGAGTCAATAGCTAAAGACCTCCAAACTTCATGTGGCCTTCATATTAGCACAACAACAGTGCGTAGAGAGCTTCATGGAATGGGTTTCCATGGCCGAGCAGCTGCATCCAAGCCTTAAATCACCAAGTGCAACGC